TTCAATAATGAAAACGAAGCAACTCCATATGCTGATGTAAAGACAAAAAAATATGGAAAAGAATGTGACCATATTATTGAGCTACATAAATGAAAAGAAAAATTATATTAAACGATACAAAGCACAGATCACTCCTACCATGGCTTGAATCATTAAAAGCATTGGTCCTACTGCACGATCAATCATTAATAATATTAATAAACGTATAAACCATAAAACAACGTCAAGTGCAAGAAATGCTCTATTATGAAACAACAAAAAAGATAATTTTATTACAAAAAAATTAGTAAACCTTGATGCATTTAATGTTGCTCGTGTATTGTAAGATTCTAAAATAATAGAAACCACATACATAATGACACAAAGAGCATCGAGTTTATTCCAAGATTCATCGAGATAAAGTAGCAACGTTTGTTTTATTCCATTATCTTTTGTTTTAAAGAATTTTGCCTTTAAATTAAGAAAAATGTTTTTTCATCATAATATTTTTGTTCGTTTTTTACTTGTCGGAATTCTTCAAGTGCAAACATAAATACCCAAATATTAATAATTAATTGTAAAATTGACCATGAATTAGTGAAAGATTTTGGTCTTGCACAAAATGCTCCATTATCATGTACACATGAACCATTTTCCCATGAAAATGCCATTTCTTCATTTAATTCAATTAAAGATGGTTTAACAAACAGTACGAGATAGGATAATAAACATAAGAAAATTATGTAGAATAAAAAGTGCACTTGATATTTAACACGTGGTCGAGATAATTTATTTTTTATTGAAAAGATATATTTAAAGAAATCCTTTTGATCTTTTGCTCTAAAGAAAAAATAGAAACAAATCTATACTTTCAAAGGGAAAACAAACAAATTTTTATCTGTCATACTGAATTCCTGTTGTTGCATGGCCAAATGAAGACGCAGTACTTGCAAGCATTCGATCAAAATGTTTACCTTTTATCTAAATAATTGATTTATAATCGTAAATTTTAATAATCAAAGAGATATGAATTACTTTATGAGTTGTATCTCCGCTCCAAATATTATCAAATACTTCTTGAACACTGGTATGTCCAACAAAATTTTCACTATGCGATATAACTAAATAAATTCATATTTATACAATTATTTTTATCAATAAAAACATACTTGCAACTTCTAATGATGACAGTTTATTAAATTCAAAATTTTCACGTTTTAATGCTAATCTTGTTAGATTTGGATTAGATAAATAAAGGCATTGAACAAGACGCATAGCAAGTTGTTCATATTCACTAAAATTAACAAAATTTGGTAAAAAAAAACTTTAAGATCGACAAATTCTAGTCGTCCTCTTAATGCTAATCTCTCTAAAAAAAGCAAACGCAGACAATGCAACGAACATGATTCGAATAAAATTCATTTTGTATATATATATACATGCTCTATATGCAAGAACTTATTACAAAATCTAAACAATTTTCTATCTCATATACCTGATTAAATTCTAAATAAAATTTATATTTTTTAAACCTAATGAAATCATTTATTTTTCTTACTCAGCATGATCTCTTAATTTTTGTACAGTTACAGTTTCTGTTGAACTTCGTTTCTCACATAAATCAGCTGTATGACGATAGACAAGTGCAGCAACTAGAGCACCACATAATCGATCCTAATATAAAATAAAATAAAAATAT